ATGACTTTATCTTCATTAGGCCGGCAATGTTAAAGATTATGCCTCAATTTTTTTAATTTGATGAAAAGGAAATCTGCTCCTTACCAATTTGGATAATCCTCCCCAGATTACCTCTTGAGTGCTGGAAATCGAAAGCTGTTAGTAAGATTGTGTCGAAGGTGGGTAAACCGATTTCTACCGACAAGCTTACTTCAACCACGAACAGAATCTCATATGCAAGAGTTTTAGTTGAAGTGGATGTGTCTAAGGAGCTTGTCTGATCAGTCCAAATGATGTTGCCCAATGGGAAAATGAGAGAACATGAAATTCATTTTGAGCACATTCTGCAATACTGCAATACTTGCAGAATGTTTAGCCATTCAATTCAGGGATGTAAACTTCACAAACAACCTCCAGCCAACAGTGAAGTCGACACAGGCTGTAAACAACCTCAGGCTTATGAACAGCCCGTGGCCAACAAGGTGATAACACAAGCAGCAAATAGGCTATAGCCAAAGAAGTGCAGAATACCTAGTTGCAACAAGCAATCCAACATGGGCAGGAGACTGCCAGTACTCAGGCAGCCTCAGTTGATCAAGGGGAGGTGCAACAAAACAAGCAGGCTTCGTAAGGGGACGATGCTCCTTTCGTTGTAGTGGCCAAGAAGAAGAAAGGGGCAAATCCAACTAAGTCGAGGGCAGATTGTAAGCTTCATAAATCGGCTAATAGGAATGTAGATTTTGTTGGTCCTAATTTGACGGCACCAACAAATGGTAAGCTTAATAGTAAGCTTGTGGAGCAACCAGCTAAATCAACTAAGACGGATAAAAAGAGGCTGACTGCCCTCTTCATGAAGGGTGCTTCTTGGAATATAAGGGACATGAACCGGCCCCTCAAACAAAATGGGGTTCAACACTTGATGAAAAAACATAATATTGATGTTAGGGGCATTTTGGAAACAAAGCTTGGGCAATCAAAACTACCACGGATCATGAGGAACAAATTCAACGGGTTTTTGCAAGTGAACAACCCCTCTCTGCATCAAGCTGGAAGGATTTTAATTCTTTGGGATCCCATCAAGGCGAAACTAATAGTGTTGGGGATTACCTCTCAAGTCATGCATTGCATTGCCACTTGTAAGGTAACATCCCTTATGTTTCATCTTAGTTTTGTTTATGCATTTCATACTATTGTTAGTCGTCGGCCTCTATGGAATAATATTATGGAGTTCGGGGTGAGTCACTCTTTTCCTTGGCTTATTCTTGGGGATTTCAACAATGTTCTCAAGATGGATGAAAGGTGTAATGGAGCCGACATCACCCCATATGAGAGTATCTATTCCTGAAACCGACACAGGTGGGCAGGTAGAGAATACCTAAATGCGGGAGACAACTCCCTCTAAGATCAAGGATTTTGAAAACTGCTGTCTTCATGTTGGTCTTACGGATATGAGCTCCATAGGATGCTTCTATACTTGGACAAACACATAGGTTTGGAGCAAGATTGATAGAGCTATGGTTAATAATGATTGAGTACAAGCGGGTTTCCAAAGCCTAGCCGAATTTTTACCATCAAAGTGCGTTTCTGATCACTCGCCATGCATTGTATCACTTTTCCATCATGATGGAAACAAGAGAAAGCCTTTTCGGTTCTTCAACATGTGGACTAATCATGAAGACTCTCATGACTTAATTCAAAAGAGTTGGGAACAAGAATTCAAGAGGGCCAAGGAAATTTACTCTATGCAAAAAGTTACAAAGTCTAAAGGGTGCGCTAAAGAGGCTTAATTATAAACATTTTTCGCACATTTCTTCAAGAACCGAATCTGCAAAAAGGGAACTGGAAGCGACACAATTGGAGCTACATGACCATCCAACAAATTCCCAACTTAATTGTAAGGTGGCTCAATTGAGGAAAGTAGCCATGGGATTGAGCGAAGCTGATAGAAGCTTTTATTACCAAAAGGCTAAATGTGTTTACCCGAAGAATAGCGATAAATGCACTAAATTCTTTCGCTCGATGGTCAAAAGGAATGTGAAACGGAAATATATTGCTGCTGTACTTAAAGAGGACGAAGCCTACACTACATCACAAAATCAGGTTGCAGCAGAATTTTCTAAGTTTTATGCTGATTTGCTGGGCATGATCAGCTTTGTGCAACCTGTTGATGCAGATATTCTGAGGGCAGGTCCGATGGTTTCCACATAACAGGCGCATGACCTTATACGAGACATCTCGATGCAAGAGATTGAGGATGCACTTTTGAGTATTGGAGATGACAAATCCCCGGGACCAGATTTAAGAAGTCTGGGGAGATTGTTGGGAGTGATTTTATGGAGGCAATTGAAGAATTATTCTCCTCAAGTTCTCTTCTTAGACAAACAAACCATACGGTTATTGTGTTGGTCCCGAAAGCTTCTCACTCGCCTATTGTTGGGGACTATCGGCCAATTGCTTGTTACAACGTGGTCTATAAGGTTATTACCAAGATTCTTGCTTCTCGGTCAAGAACTATTCTTGGAACTATTGTGGATCCAGCAAAAGCGGCATTTGTGGAGGGTCGGAGTATGACGAAAAATATCCATCTTGTTCAAGAGCTCTTGAGGCAATATAATTGTAAAAAGGTTATCCCTAGATGCCTTCTCAAGATTGATTTAAGGAAAGCATATGATTCAGTCAACTGGGATTTTCTTAGAGGTGTTCTTGGTGGTTTGGGATTTCCGGCAAGATCATTGCATCGGTGATGGAGTGTATCAGTACTCCATGATATTCTATTATGCTTAATGGTAGCCTTCATGGATTCATTAAAGGGAAAAAAGGCCTTCGACCAGGGGATCCTTTATCCCCCTTTTTGTTTGTACTTTGCCTCGAGTATTTCTCACGGATGTTGAAGGGAGCAACCGGGGATAGTGAATTTAATTTTCATCCCAAATGTGGGCCATTAAAAGTTACACACTTGGCATTCGCGGATGACTTGATGTTTTTGCAAGAGGGGACGCAACATCGGTTCAAATTCTCATGAATTGCTTATCTTCTTTTGGAGATGTATCGGGATTGAGAATGAATTCCTCCAAATCCAGCTTATTTACAGCCGGTGTTCATGGCCTTGAGTTGGAGGAAATTCAGACATTGACAGGCATACCAAAGGGATCCATGCCATTTTGCTACTTGGGTATACCACTTGCAGCCGAAAAACTTAAAATTAGTTCCTATGCACCTTTCCTGGACAAAATTTCAGCATATATCTGTGCATGGACCAGTACGTCATTATCCTATGCCGGAAGAGCCGAACTTGTGAGATCCGTACTTCATGGTATTGAATG